AGTTCGACGTGGCTGGGGCATTTTGCTGATTCCCATCTATCATTGCCTACTATGGAGACCTGTAAACTCTTGTACGGCTAGGCAACAGCACGATCTTCCTCTACACTTCATAAGAGACGACAGGTCCCACGGAGATGTGAGGTGGAAGTCAACAGGAACTAGGAAGAGAAGATCTAGGAGAGGACTAGCCGTCCCCTCTCGTCCCACCCCCCCCCCGAAGGCGAATAGCATGGAAAGGAGTATGTTTTTTATAAGAATTGTCAAAGTCAGTGCGTACTGATATACCTCGAAAGCAAACAGTACATTAACCTGACAGAAGTGCGAGGTGAATGGATCCGCAGCTGCAGTAGCGCTCCCCTTTGTCCTCTCTCAAGAATGCACGGGAACGGGACTGTAGGGCATTGTACCTGGGTGCCGTCCCTATATGGCGCCCGCGTTATCCTCAAGACGCAGCACTTTCGTCAGTATCAAGGCCCCGCAGCGAACCACGTACTCAGCAGCAAAGAGCAACAAGAAGGGATAGCGCGCAGACAAGGTACGCGTTTGGCTATGGTTAGGTATGTGGTTGGCTGTGCAGCTTCACCTCATAGAAGGCAAGAACCAGGTTTCGCAGAACTGAATGCACTGGCAGCAACAAGTCAATCTACTCAGTAAGTCAAGTTTTTTTGGACTTCGGCTTCTGTGGAATTTTCACGAAACATGCATTAACGAATAGTAACGGTCATAGGTAGAAAAACGGTGTGGCTAGTCCTGCAGGTTAGCACTGAGGTAGAAGACGCTCAACTGTTGTTATGCTATTATTCAGCACATATTATGAACATCACTTGTAAATTCATATAGATCTCACCCATCATCGATTTCTCTTCGTCTGGACTCATTCCCTGGATGAATATTGTTTTCACGATGACCTGAAACTGATCCACACATTATCTATCCAATCATTATCTCCCAAATGGTTTTGCATCGAAGCCTTGGCGGGTGCCGATCCGGGATTTGAACCCCTGAATAACTCCTGGAAAGGAATGAAAAGAGGGCGAGCTCAGTATGTCCACAAGGTGCTGCTGATCAGAACAGAGCGCAGGAATTCCGTGACTTGATAGTGTTTTTTCAAGAATCAAAAAAGTTCAATGATTTGCGACTATCACAGGGACTACCATGGGTCAGGGTATAGCATCGTTGTGTGAAACACATGGGGGAGGG